TTGACCAAAAAGCTGTATGAACAGGTTTGAATGAAGCGTATGTGTTTTTTATCGAGCTGGAAGAAGCAGAAGGTGACGTCTGTACTTCGGGAGGAGGCTTGGCCATTATTTTCCCAGTGGACCCCGCCGGTCTAGGAAGAGACTTGGACGTTGGTTTCCCAGTGGACCCCGCCGGTTTCGTAGGTTTCCCAGTGGACCCCGCCGGTTTAGGAAGAGACTTGGAAGTTGGTTTCCCAGTGGACCCCGCCGGTTTAGGAAGAGACTTGGACGTTGGTTTCCCAGTGTACCCCGCCGGTTTCGTTGGTTTACCAGTGGACCCCGCCGGTTTGGGAAGAGACTTGGATGTTGGTTTACCAGTGGACCCCGCCGGTTTGGGAAGAGACTTGGACGTTGGTTTCCCAGTGGACCTCGCCGGTTTGGGAAGAGGCTTGGACGTTGGTTTCTCAGTGTATCCCGCCGGGTTGGGAAGAGGCTTGGACGTCTGTTTCTCAGTGGGCCCTGCCTTTTTGGGATGAGGACTGGGCTTTGGTTTCCCAGTGGACCCCGCCGGTTTGGACTCCGTTGATGTTGGGAAAGTACTGAACTTGGGTTTCCCAGTGGACCCCGCCGGGTTAGACTTCGTTGATTTGGGGAGAGGACCAGACTTGGGTGTCCCAGTAGATCCCACGGACGTCGAAGAAGGGCCGGATGTCGGTTTACGAGATAAGTCTACCACCTCTGGAGCGGGTTTCCCCACGGAAGTCACCGGGCTATAACGACGACGAGAGGCACGTGACTGAGCCATCGCAGCTAGTAGAGACTGATCGCTGCTACTGGACTAGTCTTCAGGGACACTTTGGGCACGGGTAGTCCGACGCTTCTTCGATGTGGAAGGGGCCGGTACTTCGGCAGTAGGCGACCGAGATCTTTTTATTCTTGAAGGTCCTGGGACCTTAGTCTTAAGCGGGACAGGTCTAGCCGCGGCGCTCCGAGCTACGGCCAGCTGTTTTCTGGAGCTGGTCCCGTTGGCAGGCGACTTGCTTCACGAGAAATTTAGAGCGGGCCAGCTCATCTCGAAGTTGTGATACTTGTGATACTGTGGACCGAAGATCGGCCGTGGTGGTATCCAACTTGGCCTCCAGCTCTTCAGTCTGGAGTGTGAAGCTCGTCACAGTGGCCTCATACTGGCCCTTCCAGTACCGAATCTTGGACCGAGACGCTTCAACCTCAAGGCGATAATCCTTCCGGGTGGCGAGCGCATCTCGGTACTCCGCAATAGTTAGCTGGTCGGTTTCGTGGTCGCGGACGAAATTCCGAATTCGAGCCTCGATCCGGGTAAGGTAAACTTCTTCAAATCGAATGACCTCGTCCACGCGGCTCTGCAAGTCTTGGGCCCGGCGATGCTCAGCCTGATAGGCCTGCTGGAGGGCCCTTTATGATTGTCAGCGAGGGGTCTCCATAACTTGGGCTCGTTCCATCGCCAGATGGATCGCTTCCCACGCCCGGGTGACACTCGCATAATCGGGGGTCTCCCCGACGAGGTCTACAGTCGGAATAACCAAGGCAGGTCAGGTCCAGGCAGTGGAGGGGTAGACCAACGGCCAGGTGCTGGGGGTTCGTCAGAGAAAGAACTGGAAGAGGTCACTGGTGGGTGAGTTGGTGTATACGGAGGATCGTCAAGCACATGGACACCTACTTATATGTTGAGGAGACAGGACAAGGATGCACGGGGTCTTGCCGCAGTTCGGAAGACCAGCGCGCAGGGGACAGCTGTGGAGAAGTGCCAGAGAAATGGGGGCCCTTCGTAGTTATTATAATAACTGGCGGGAAAGATCTCGGTCACTCTCTTGAATGAGTGACAGGGAGTGACCAGGGCCCCGAACTGGTCCAAGGTCCCGAGTTCGGAGAAGGTACTAGGATGTCCTACACTACAGACCAAAGGACCAGTGCTGCTAGGGCAGCTTAGGTTGACCCCAGGCGACAGGTGAACCAAGGTGACTGGTGGGCCCAGGTGACAGGTGGACCCCAGACGACAGGTGGACCCCCGGTGACAAGTGAACCCCAGGTAACAGGTTGACCCCAGGCGCCAGGTGGACCCCAGACAACAGGTGGACCCAGGTGACCGGTAAACCCCAGGTGCCAAGTGGACCCCAGACAACAGGTGGACCCCCGGTGACAGGTGGACCCCAGGTGCCAGGTGGACCCCAGGTGACTGGTGGGTCCTAGGTGAAAGATGAACCCCAGATAATAGGTGGACCCCAGACAACAGGTCGACCCCAGGTGACAGGTGGACCCCAGGTACCAGGTGGACCCTAGGTGACAGGTGGACCCTAGGTGACAGGTGGACCCCAGGTGACCGGTGGACCCTAGGTGACCGGTGGACCCCAGGTTATAGAAGGTACAAGGCTTCCTTAAAGTGCAGAGCCGGTACAAGTCTCATGTCCCAACTGAGCCAGTTGTTCGTCCACAAGTTGACACGTGGTACCATCCAGAGCGAAGGGTTAGGGTTTGGCAAGAAAAGCATACAGAGGATAAGATAAATCAAACACACTCGAATTTGCATTACACGTGGCAGCTTTAAGCGCCCCTTCCAAGCTTCTCCGTCGCCTCACCTTTTCCGGGCGGGATACCCTTTGCCGCCCCCCGACGTCCAGCAGGTGTTAGACGGCTCAAGCTACACAAGTTGAACCTCAGGATAGTTGGCCTGAGGTGTCAAGACTCTACGACCCGCTACAGGAAGCGGTTTTCCTATGGGGAAAGACACAAAGGGGTCCAAGGACCAAGAACAGTCAGCCACCAAAGGGGTACATAGTACCAGGTGCATCGCTCTCGACTCAGTCGATAGAGCACAAGAAAACCGGTCCCAGTGAAGCATATCCACTCGGGGACCACCAAATTCAAGTCTTATACAAAGACCAAGTCCTTAAGTTTCTGCGTCAACCGAGAAGCAAGACCAGCCAAGCCGACGGGTACACAAGGTGAGACCCAGGGTTAAAACGACACGGTATCTGGTTATCCCCTCCGTAAGTCGGCAGTCCGGCGCTGTGTGTGTTTGTGTTTCTCTCACGTCGTTTGAGAATCCACTCCACCACACTATCATTATTCGTTTTATAATTGATACAGTAGTACCAATTATAACATACACTAGTGATTGGACGATTCCATATCCAGATACAAGCAATGGCATATTATAATTTTTATAATTGTAATTGGTCTAGTGTAGGGAATTTAAAGTAGAATTATTCACAAAATCTTAATGCATATATAATATCAGTTCTCATTTTGAGTTAAAGATTACTAGTCTCTCTCAGACTTGTCCTCATGTGCACTTTGTGCGTTGGATCTTTGAATCTTAAGCTATTGCTTGTAGAATAGAAGTCCCTTCTAGTTCCGTAGAACGGGTAAACTTCTTAAAAATAAGTGGCTTTAAGCCGTCAACTTTTTGTTAGTTCTTTAGACATAAAGCGGAGCTACACAGCTCTTTAGTCAGAGGACAACTCTTAAGGCTGCAAGCCTGGTAGTTCCTTCGAGATGTTGGTTTTTTAAAGCTAACAAGCGTTCAGCCTCTAATGTTTTCCTCAGACTAAAGAGCTGTGTAGCTCCGCTTTATGTCTTGTGGCCCAGGTTTCTTTTTATTATCTAAGTTTTCTTACGTACAATACACATAATTCGATAAGTTTTGACCTCTGTTATGTTATGGGTATCGTCGTCTACCGTAGCCATAACTTAACAGAGGGAGCTCTGTATTACTAATCTGCTTATTGTCTTCCTAGTATTAATACATAAAGCCTGTAAAACACCTCTTTTGATGTTCCATATTGTAATTGGCTTTGATAATGAAATCTCTTCATGTATTGAGCATGCAAGGACTGCGGACGTACACAAAACGAAGCACCAGCTAGTGTTAGTAAAGTGCTTTAAAGCTGTAGTGGGTCATTTGAACAGACGAAATGCGGTATTTTTTTACTCGTCCAATACGTCAGTGCCGTCAAATTTAGTGGTTGGTTCTATTGAAGGAGAACTGGATGAATTCATGTACGAGATCATGTGTCCAACGCTGGATCAGATGCGGGTCAGAACATCGTACGTGAAAGATGGCCTTGTACGTGGCAGCGTCTTGACAATGCTCGTCTCGCCGACATATCCAAAATTCATTTGCGTCGGTCGCTGTCAAGTGAATGGAACAAGGTCAGCCAATACATGCTCGTGCAATAGTCAAGAACCGTGACTATGTGTATGTAGAAGCTATTAGCGTGGAAAAATTTGCGCAATGGCGAGCGGGTGGGATATCCGGTAGTTCGCTTGTTCCAGTTTCCAGAGACATCAGAACGCTCGTTTGCCATTCGCGGCAATATGTCCGTCTGAGCATTCTACCGACAGAGGAACAGCGACGAAACGGCTGTCTACGACAGAGCATTTCTTAATTCCGTAAGGATCTGGAAAACTTTATCATTATAAGGTCCGTTGCACGAGCGCTACTTTCCATGTCCATATGTGTTTCTTAGAAAATTCAATGGGTCGTCCAACAGCGGCATCAGTTGACTTCGGTGCATAGCCAAATTCCAACGCTGGACTCCACGTTTAACGGTCATTGCGTGATCTGCGATAAAAGGCGTTCCGCAGTTGCCAACCTCTTCGCTGCTGCTGCTAGTCAAATCACCGCCTGCAAGATTTCCGATGGCAACGTCGGTGTGAGCTCTGCAAGCGCTACGTCTGTCTAGACTGTCGCAACTTGCACAAGCCAACTTTCGTCTTGCTCGATCATCGCTTCATGCAGCAGCAAAAAGCGCTTTGTAATGGTTGTCAGGAAAATGCTTTTGGGGTAAAGGGCATGGATACAGCCCGTTACGGACTAAAGCAAAAACGCTCATCGCTCATTGAATGGTGGGATACGCACGCTACGTTAAAAAGCTCGAACCCTGAAACTATAACATAAGCTTAACTAGCACCTGGAGCCACGCACAGGTTTGAAAATAAGGGCTTATTCACAAGTATTATCAGAGATTACGGTTTGTTTCTAGTTACCACAACCAGCCCTGCTGCTTGCGTTTTTCCTTCATCAACCACGAAATATATATGCGGTGGTCAGAGACGTCTACTTTCAATGAAATTGAAATTTATCATTCCTACGCACCTGAATGGAAGCAACTTGTGCTGGTGTAAATTTAAGAACGGTCGCAATGGCCTTCTCCATGTGCTCTTTGGCCTAATTGTGAACGCATCCAAAGCAACGTTAGCATCATATTCTAGCACCAGATTTGCATTCCGCCACGTACCTCGTCTTGGTCCGAGGACATGTACTTGTACACTATATTCTTCAAATACTCGTTTGTCTTTGTTGAGTTTGGAGTCTCGAAACCCGCTAAACTGCTATTAGACTCTAAGCTCATACGACGAAAAAGCATGTCCTTGGCACTGTTGGTACGACTAACGTTGCCGCTTCCACCGTCATTGTCGTGGTAATGCGCTTGAATGTCGTGCAATTCCTTCTCTTTCTGCTCCACAGCATTCAGTGCGCTCTTTCGGTATTGCGCAAACTCCTGTCGCAGTAATTGCAGATCACCTTTGCCTCTGGCGTTACTCTTGTCAAACGCACCATTCGTCACTAGACTCAACTCCTCTAGTTTATTTTCTAACTCTTCCTTCTCGCGAGCAGACTGTTCATACCTTTATACCAACAAGCACTATATTAGTGATACTCTGCCACTACGCAAACCTAGTGTGCACAAGACAACACACCTCTCTCTCCATTCCATCGCAAGAACCGTCTCGCCCATCGTACCGCTGAGTTTCTCGTAATCTTTCATAAGCTTTTCAAATTTTCGTCGCAAACTGGATTCCTACAAGGCAACACCGTATATATCACAGGAACAAAATTAAGATGTACGCTACCACGAAAAATAAATAGTAGACAGATCATACCCGCTCCTCGGCTTCCGCTTGAGCTTTCGTAAGCCGGCGAATTTGCGCCTTTGACGATTGCAGTTCTCCTGCAACATCCGTCTCCAATATCTGCTCTGTCTGCTTCGCCATCACATTGGCGCTTATCTAAACGGCCAGTTAAAATAGCAGTCGTGTACCCCAATCAAATTCCCCATAGTGTCCATGTTGGCATACCTTTATAAGCCACATACCTTTCGGATCTCAGCGTCCTTTTGCTTTCGTGTGATCTCCGACCGAACACGATAACGACGGAACTCTTCCTGAACGCGGTCAATTTCTTCTTTCAGACTCTTTTTCTATAATCCACACAAACCCGCACATGAGCTCTAAGACAATCTCCAGCTATTCCCATTTCACTACATCTACAAATGAAATCAAACCACACCACACTCTCCACTTCAGAAGGCGTCATTGAAAAATCCGGCAGCACCAAAGGTTCTCCAGACGCGCGGTTAGCATAGGCCTGAATTTCTTCTTCAGTTTGGAAACAATGCCACGCAAACTCATTCAACTCGTCCAACTCTTTCGAGTCGTCCAGCTCGTTCTCATTTGCGTATTCCGCGAGACACCAAAGCAAGTTCCCATGTGCCACCTTGTACAGCAGCTTCTTTGGGTCTCGAGTAGACGTGTCTACATACCACAAGTGTCTAGTATGTTGGTTCTTGGCCAGTTCCACCTTTAATTTCTCAATAATCTCGTCCTTCTCGACCAGGTCTTGTTTACTATTATCAATACTCCGCTTTGCCATAGCCAGCAGCCTCTTAAGCTTGTTCTCCTATTCCATTATTAAAGGTTATTAAGACCTCTCCTTTGTCTGTTCAGTATCATAAATTTAAAATGGTAGTACAGCCTCACCGTCTCGTCCTTCTCTTGCATCTTGGCGTTCTTTTTGGCCAATAGCTGCTCTAGGCGTACACAACGTTCTTTCCATGCATGGATTTGCGCAATGACGTCGACGTCGTCATTGGACAGAGATGGGGAAGTTTCTTGTGGCTGTTCAAGCGTCTCTTGCTCCTTCTCTTCGTGGGAATCTGTACAAGTAATGCGTAAAGTGTAAAAACTACATGTGTACATATATATACGAGCATATATAGCTCTATTTTATCCTCTTGCCTTCCATTAACGCTTCAAGCGGTAGCGATGCGTCCATACTAGTCGGACAAGTGTACGTGCCACACGAGTGATACATTCATCACCTATTGTATATAATACTATGATACAATGGAGGATCGGCAGACGAGTCGGATGCCGGTACAGTCAATACCTATCATATGTCATACCGATATGCTGCAACCAAGTACACTGTAGCCATTTTGAAACATTGTGTAGCCATCTTTATGACATTGTGTAGCCATAACGAGACCATACATGGATATCAAGACGATCGCTGCCAATTACGGCGGCTTATCAGCTCATGTGATAGCGCGTGCAGAAGAGAATTGGCGTATCACTCGTGCCAAGAAGTCATCAGGATTGGATCAATTTGCTGGTCCTGTCGCGTGTATTGTAGTGGCTGCATGTGCACTGAATGAACACGTAGATAGGACGAAATTGGCAAAATGTGCAGGTGCTAGTAAGCGGCTAATTGAGCCCACAGTACGAAAAATAGTGGACGCAATAGGTATTCAAACAATTATCAAGACGTCACCAGCTGTACTGTGCATTAAATTTGGCTGTGAAGCACTTACGGAGATCGTGAATCATGTCTTGGATGAGTATCGCGAGTATTTGATGCAGATGGCAGCAATGAACAGAAAAAAGAAGTCCAAGCACCCGTTGGGACCGACAATGAGGACTATCAATAGTCAAGATCCAGTCTTTGTAGCTGCATGTTTGTATGCAGTTAGCAAAAATGCAAAGGTGAGAAAAAAGGATTTAAGGGGACAGTAAACGAATTTAAAAGCTGAATTTCCACTTGTTAGATGAATGTGAACCAGGACAAATTGCTTGAAGCTGTATATGGTAATGCAAAAGAGTTTGATGCTGTTGTATCTTCTGTGGAGGTAGCTGGATACATGTAGTGTGGACTGATGGTGATATTGGTGCAATTTACTCATAAGTTTGTGTTCTCTTATATAGATGCACTGCCAGGCGTCATTGAGCGGTGCTATCATGGATCGGAAAAAGCGGCGTAAACTTGCAGGAGACAAAGCATCTACAAATTTAGTGGAGCAATTTTGCCTTCAACAGCTTGAAGAGGAGGAGCGTGCAAAACGACAGATGATAAGCCATGACGATGAAATAGCCCAGACGCTGGCGCAACAGCGTGTATTCGAGAAGTTACGAGCATCTCGTGTCGGGATATCAACACAAAGTCATGGTTTATCTCGAAAAGGTGCGGCAGTTGCTACTCCAGAGGAATACGCTGAATGGCGGACCAAGGCACTCAAGTTCATGCACAACAAGAAGGAAAAGGCAGAATGCAGAAAGCAGCAACAATAACGCAGCCCAGCTCACACTGTTTACATTTAATACATATCGCAGCTATTGTTCAAAGCGTATGTAGTACATAACGTTTATAAGTTGACAATTTTTAATAGCTACTGTATTCTTATGGATCAGTGTGTTATTCAAGCGCTGAAGTAACGCAGTGTGCTAGCGTAGCTGCAAATAGCAAACCTGGAGAAGTAGTGAAGTAATATGGTCATACTGTAATGTATTTCATGTTGCTTGCAAATAGTAAGTGCAAGAGCAAGCTAGTTTTGTAATTTCACACAAATACTCTTCATTTTCACTTTTGCTTCGTCTTGCTCAAGAGATTTTTTGAATCCAAAAGCAGAATGTTGGTCTTGTCGCCATTTAAGATGACGACAGCGCTCAGTGCACTGCTTGTCATGGCTGTGTTTCTACCGCACGTCGCCACGAGTAACGTTTTTTATTATTAATGCAGGTATCGCATGAGGACGAAGAAGGCTCACATGATGAGCTCGTGTTATAACTAAAGGATGTTACGGCTCCCGATGTGTTTACGGACAAGTCCATTGTCACGCCGACGTCTGATGCGGATCCGCATGACACGCTCGACTTGCCGATTACAAGTGTCATTGGAATTATGGCGAGGATTCCATGTTCGCCCAGGACAGTGACGTGTTCATGAAGTTTAAGCCAAACGACACGGACCAGACGTGCTCGCTTGATACGCATGCTACGCTTTTATACAAACAAGGTTGTGGTGAAATCTTGGTGATTGGATCGTATTGAAGCCATGGATCACGCTTTTACTCTTCTACCAATTCTTGAACACGCAACAACGATTTGGAGACAGCGTCTGAGAAAACAGCAATGGACACGTATACGTTCTGGAAAGGAAAAATCTAATCGACAGCTACGTACTCATTATGACAACTGGGTCACGAAGAAAGATATCGCTGCACTTGCGGCAATAGGCATCAATCCATCTTGTATTCCTGTTAGTGACTGGATGTTAGTTCTAATGAACCTATCTCTGGCTGCACGAAGGTGCCGTCGATGCGCTCGACCCGTATCGCTGAACTTGCACTTAGGTACGAGCTCGACATTCTACATTCTATTGAATATTGTGCATGGACTCATTGGATTCCAGAATGGATCTGATAACAGTGGCAGGTCTATGTCTGTCAAGTGGACGTTCATTGCTAGTACGCAGCCTTGGAAGGAACCACATTTGAGCATTGGTCTATTCGTCCAGTTAAATGGGGTGGTACTTTTGATGTCGAGAATCACGATTATTCAAGCATCAACTACTCGAACCTATACCATTTAATTGTGGTTGTCGAAGCAATTGATAACTCGCTATTTGAAAAGTCGGCGAATATACCGTGGGAGTTTTTTTACACCTAATTAAGTACTTAAAGAGTACTGTTGGATGTCGTGCAAGCGGATGAAGGCTCTCGCACCTTTGTGGAAGTTCATTGTTCACGACTCCGTTTCGGGCTAGTACTCTGGACTAGTTTTCTTCGTAAGTGCCCCGATATTGTCATCGACACGCTGGAACCCGCCTGGAATCGTTGAATTTTTTTCAAATGCTTGTCAGCAGAAGTATGTCATTACCAAGATGGAAGAGATGCCATGACGCCTACTATTGTAGGTGAGTGGTCGATCGCCACGGACAATTGTGCAATGTGGCTGAATGGCTATAATGACAATTTGCCTGGCTTCCCCGACCTCGATGCCACATGGTAGACTGTCCTATAAACAGCACGTACCTTAGCGACGGATTCCCAGCTACTCCTTTAGACGAGACTAAACCAGTTTGAGGCCTATACGGCACTGGCATGTCTGGACCGTCGTTTGGCAAGTGTTCGGTCACCAATCAAAGCTTCTTTTCACCAGCATGACGACGCTGGATTAACCAGGGCGTTAACTCTGAAAAGCCTTTTTGCGGTCACGGGTGGACCTTCAAAACAGAACTCGCTACAAAGTGAAGTTTCTTATACTTGGTCCATCAGGGCGCATACCCCAAAAACGCGTCGAATTGCCACAACGATGACGGTGTTGAGACGGCTTTCAGGAAGGAAGAGAATGGTGGCTTTGTTTGCCATGCAAAGCGCGGTGTTGAAGGATTGGAGGTCAAGAGCGGTCTTGCATTTGCGTGCAATTTTCCCGAAGATCGACTGCTCGGACATTAAGAAGCGTTTTTACACCTTGGAAGAGCAATGCGACTGGGCGTTTGACCGGTATTGGCACTTAACCGCGAAAAGGGCGCGACACACCTTGACAATGACATTGACATGGATGTAAAAGATCTCCCCTGCATACTCAAACGTCCAAGAAGGTAAAGCCAAGCTGTTTACTCGCATCAGTGGCGAAGTGAAGTTTGCAACCATCATGAATGTCGTTGCCTGCCTGATGGCAGTTGGCGTTGCGATCTTCAGGGTCGTGCGTTGGTGTCAGCACCGTGGGTGCCGCCAATATTCACCTTTTGGGGGTCGTCTGTAAGCACAATTGACAGCTCAGCGAATCATGAAAGCGAAATTAATATGTGAAGAGTGAGGAAGCCATATTCGTCAGCATCGGGCAGCGTACCATTCTCAGCAAAGACTTTTTTAGCCTTAAAGCTCTCGTATATAAGAAGCGCCATGTCGCCACAGTCATCCACGAGATTGTCTGGGCATATTTGCCGTCATCTGAAGGCCATGCGATAGCGTATAAAGTGCACTCCCAGTACTTTGCAAAAGTCTCACCTTTTTAGGCAAAGACTGCGGCGGAGCAGTCAACGCAACGCTACTGTTCCCTGCCATTAACGTGAATGACACAGTCACCGAGTCTAAATTTTTGGTAGGCTTTGACAATCTATACGGTTGTCGTACCTCACTATCACTATTTGATGGCATCAAACGTGCCACGGACGTCATGCTGGCTAGCAAACGTATCGTAATTGCAGCTTTGGTGACGTCGACAAGGGTAGCGCTCAGGTCATAAAGGCTGCTGGCGCGCTCGTTTACGTAACTGAGGTAAACCCTATCTGCGCCCTTCAGGTATGCATGAAGGGCTTTCAGGTGACACATATTGAGACGGTTGTCTCCCAGGCGAATATCGTTATCACCACGACGAGCAGCAGGACATTATCATGACTAAGGACATGCTCATGGTGAAAAACAATGCTATCGTCGGCAACATCGGTCACTTTGACAACGACATTGACATGGATGGTGTGAATGAGATCGCCAAGCACCAAATCAATTAAGCCGCAGATTGGACCGCTTCATTTTTGAGGACGGCCACGCTGTCATTATCCTGGCTGAAGGCCGTCTGCTCAACTTGGGCTGCGGCAATCTAGTCGATTCGGAACGAACACTAAGACCTAGCAAGATTTTTGCCATTTTTCTTGACTTTTGATATACGGCACGCTTGCAATTGCGTTATGATGATTCCAGCAGATCTTGCAGTCTCCATTGTTGCCATTCTGCGCCTCTTTCCAATTTTTCGATACCAGTAGTATGCAAGACAGAATACGAGTCAACATCCGAGAATAAGGAGCTAGTCTCAGGCATCCACATCGCTGCATGGAGCCCATACGCAACACTCACGAGATGCATCGAATCAAGCCGTGTACACTTGAAATGCCAATCTATAGCACGCTGATCATCCAAAAGAAGCTTCCATCGGGCCGAATCCCCTCGAATAAATTCGACTCGTAACATGAGAAGCCCAGATCAATGCCCACCGTCTCAATGTATGCCTCCTTACGCGACCATAGTCGGTAGAATCGCGTATATCGACTATCGTCGTCCTCCACATCGCGAACATAATCCCACTCCTTCGAAATTGAAGTGATCAACAAAAGCTCAAAAAAACTCCTCGGCTGACTTCTTATGAAAAGGTCGATCTGTTAGTCGGACAACATCTACGCCAACCAAAGTACGAGAATCACTGACAATTGCGACGATGGTCTTATGATGAAGACGTTTTGATTCCACAATGAAGGAGCGAGACTTCGAATTGGTCGCCTCCAGTTTCGTTCATTCTGCAACAAGTAACGACACAAGTCACGACACAAGTCACGACACAAATTATTATTTCCAATAATGATACGCAAGATTAATCATCGACCGCACCTCAGGAGTACGTTTAATCTCGACGTTCTCGTAATTTCATGTAAGAGTTGGTGGATGAGCTGCCGCTGTAGAAAGCGGCTCGCGAGTGCCTGCTTTTGGTCTTTTGCAAACACAAAATGTGTCACTTGCTTTTGTTCAATTTGCCGAAAGCTGCAGCATTAGACGTTGCTATTCCGGAGCTATTGGATTTTACTCGGAGACGTCGACGAAGCGAAGACAGTGAAATAGTGTCATGGGAAAAATGAAAGTGGACGCCGATGAGTGGAGTGGCTGTGTCAAAAAGGGTTACATTGGACAGTATAAACAACCAAATATAAAGACTTCGAAGCTGAAAAAGACCTACCGTTTGGTCACTTGAGTATTCCAAGCAAATCTCTTGAGCCCCGTATCTTGCGTCATGCAAATTTTACGAAGTGGATGGCTAAGACATTCTGCCCTTACAGCCGTAAGGGAACAATGTCTTCATTGTTTCACTTTTTCTCGCTCAGCTGACACCCACCCTAAGGTGTACGCTAATATCAGCTGGTTTAAGTTAGATATTCACAATCATTTGCTTGTAAACACGTGTCTTTACGGAATAACATCTACAATAGACTGTCACTTGCAGCCCAGACGAAGATAAAGTCGCTGGCGTGCCTTCATGGCAGGTACCATACCGCGGCGGCAGTGAAACGATGCGTGTTGTAAGTTGTATAGTTCGTCGCTGTGACCCGGTAAGTAGAGGAAGTGGCTTTATTCTTGTTCGATACTACTTGTGCGAATCGACTGAGGATGTAAAACCTTAACGGTGCATCCTACTTGACCTTTACTTGTTTGCTGCTTTTTTGCTGTGGTGTTGCTGTTTTATCGAACGTTGTAATGTCGACACAAGCGGCATCTCAGCAAAGCATGAATATAGAGAGTCGAGGTGCTAGGTAGTTGTAAGTAGACATGGTAGCCGGAAAAGCAAACAAGTCTTCATAAAAATGACTTAGTACATCGTAAGATTGACCATATTGTTTGCAAGAGCTGGCTTCTTACGAGTTTATGGTGCCGATGTGACCTGACAAAACAAAGTCCAGGCTAACAGAGGTTGTAAATTGTGCGCCTTTCGGAGAAGGCAAGCGCTTGCTCACTGGACGCTCGCGGTTACACGAACTACAGATTGGTCTCTGAAAGAACTTATGGAATATAATTGTTAGTTTGTCACCGATAGTTTACAAGACGACCAAGCCCGGCGTTTGGGATAAGTTAGGCCGCAGGTAGCAAATGTCAACGGGCTCTATAGGTAGGTGTATGACCTATAGACCTTAGGTAAGAGGTAGTTAGCCCCAAAGCTTGTCAGCCTTGACTGCAGTATCTAAATATCAAAAAAGAGGAATCTCTGACACTGTACGTAATGCTCCGCAGCTACATCCGGTCTTCACATGCTCAGCAGATCGGAGCTCCGTCTGATTAATCTCGTATAGCCAGGAGTTTGAAAACAGCTTTCAATGCAATCAGACGAAATATCAAAGTAACGACCAACGCAGTGTCATTCTCAATTTTCTCTCAAACCCCTTAAGCAGACCGTCAATCATGCGAACGTATCCTTTGCTTCTAGTAGCTGCTACCACCCTATCTGCCTATGCTGATACGTCGTCAACAAGATCGAGTTCGACATTGGAGCGACCAGCATTGTCTCATCAGCACGCCCCCCAGCGGATGCTGCGAGATGGGGCGGAAACAGCCGAAGAGGAGAGGATGCCGAATATAGGAGAGGCATTCGTTGAATCCATATCGGAAAAAGTAAGTGAAGGAACACTGACAAAACTCACTGACGGATTATCGGCCAAACCCGCTGAAGCACTTCTGTCGCCTTCCATTTTTGAGAAGTATAAGAAGTTCTTGCCTCCAAAGAAATCTGAGGAGGATGTCGTTGATCTACTGAACAACAAGATATTTATAAATTTTGTTAGCAAAGTTCGGAAAAACGAGAAAATTACCAAGCCAGAAAAATTCATCGCGAAATTTTTGGCGGAACATTACTCTGACGATGCTTTTTTAGCGATGCTTAAAACAACCCCAGAGCATTCGGCCGAACAAAATGAACTCGCGACCAGATTACAAGATGAGTGGATACAACTAACGGTCGAAAAAGCGGGGCCACTAACCGACGATGCGATCAACCATGTGCGCGAGCTTCTAATTCCTGATGACAACTTGCTAAGCTCCACACGTTTCGAGGCGTATTTCGAGCTTTTGAAACGTAGAAAGAACTTCAAGGCCAGATTTATTAGATCAACGATTGGTGAAAAGTTTGGTATCTCGTTACCAACAACGATTCCGGATGACTCGAGATCTCCTTACAAACAGATTATGCTGCCCTTTTGAAGATGCTGCAAAAGTCTACAGAGGTTGAAGCTACGAAAGAAATCGCGACACGTATACACAAAAAGTTTGTAAAATCGTATTCTGGATTGGGACTAACCCCCTCTGATTTGTTTGATCACTTTCACCTCGATCAAAATACTGAAGGCACGGTGCTAAACAACCCAAACTTCAAGTTGTGGGCCGAATTTGTGAGAACAACAACGTGAATTGGATGGTAAGCCGACGGAACAGTATGCGGAGATGGCAAAAATTCTGGATCGAAAAATTCGGAAAGAAAACACTAAAGCAAATGCTGAAAGTGGCCTCGAAGGACAATGAAACGAAAGAAATTGCGGAAGGTTTAAGGTCTGAATTGGGAATGTTGTCAACATTTGAGAAATTATACAAACGAATAATCGGATCATGAGCTTTTACACCTTGATAATAGAAATTGTTTTTTGCGTTTTACATGATCTTAAGTAGAGAAATGCATAAGAGGCGATTTAAAGCTCAGATACATTGTGTAGCGCTTGCAGTTGCAAAAAATATTCAACATGCTGGTTGTATCTATTATTCACTTCCACAGTAGCTTGCGCCATGCCGACTACAGTTTGATTGTCTTTGCGACGGCAGGAAACCGCTTTGTAAAAGTGTCATCGTGATCGATGCGGAAGCTCCACTTGCGTGTTTTGGGCTCCAAAATAGCAAACTCTACAATTTAAGGCAACAGTGAGACAACATGTAGTTAGACGTCTTATTACGCATAGTAACCATGCCCGCGATTCGCAATTTGTGAGTCTCACCAGTCAAGATGATTTTGGCTACATCAGCGTCCACAAAATATTTTTCTGCCAATTCCATGCGCGATACACCGGCAGGTGTCTTCGCCAGCTGCAACAGTACAGGAGATATCATCCGTAAATTTCTAAAACTCAAAGAGTAACGAGCAAAGGCTTCAAACGTACTGCCTTGATAAAATCATTGCGGGCGTGCACTGTCGTCGCACCGCGGCACACCAAGGCGCTATTTAGTAGCAAATGGCAGACACAAAAGCTATATTAGCCCGTACTGAGAAATGGGCCGAAAAATAAATAGCCCACCTAGTTGGAAGCAGTCGCCCTCGCACATGCATAGCCACATGCTTGAGTGCTTCCAATAGCTCTTCCTCACTTTGTGCTGGAAGGAGCTTCGCAAGCGTATCAAAATGCATGATTTGGTCAGTTGCAAGCAGTCGCAGAACATCCGCGTACTTTACATCAACACCACGAAGTAGCTTTCCAGTAACAGGCTCCATTATTTCGTCCTCCTGCTCCTCGTCTTCCCTGTTCATCGCAGAAAGTCGTTAGGTCCACAATAGTCGACAAAAATCACACACAAGGAAAACGTACGGTGCCAAATTCTTAGGAGCTCTGGGCTTATCAACAGCGACCATTGAACGGTATTGCATCGCCTTGATATATTCGTCCGACGTCATCGTCGAGACCACCTCGTCTTCTTTTTCACTAAACAAGTTTTCAAATTCATCATCAGCATCGGCACTCTGTAAACAGAAAACAAAAACGAATCACCACAATTAAGACTCGTTTTCAACTCTTTTAACTCCCATGATAAGAACTCAAATCGTACATTCTTGTTGTACACTTGAAGCTCCATCCAGTTCTCAGCATCAATCTGCTGTTTCTTGTACGCATACGAGTTTTGAATAGCAGAAATTGCACGTTCTGACTGTTTCTTTTTAAACTGAAACTGTACTTCCTTCGTCTCCGTCGAAAGCGACTCCATCTTTTCTTCTACTTCCATGTCTTCCTCTTCTTCATTTACTGCATCATCAATATGCGACAAACTTGGACGCATCTGCATTACTGAAGACAGTGGTGTAAGATGCAATTGACCTTGACGAAAGACACCAATAACGTAATTCGTTAATGCTGGGACATTGGCTGATTGCATCCGTAAATGTTTTTGCTTGAGATAATCTTCTGCGTCCTGATCAAAGTGTGTCGATCGTTGATCCACGGCAAACTCAAGCTGCATCATTTGATTGATTGGTTTGATACGTGCACGACGTGGTGGCTCAGGCATTGGCCGATATGTCGGACGTAATGGGAATTGTACCATAAAACTGAGACAGTTGCAGTCATTAGAGGGTCTCCAATGGTAATACATACATCAATAGATAGCTACAATCAACGTACAGATTATGACATCCTTTGTCAGTAAGATGTACGGGTATTTCACGCACTATGGGGTCCTCATCCATCTCGTCACTTTCTTCCTCTGTAGCTTTATTGGTTGTCAATCGGGGTCAGTATACGTTCCCTCGGTTTAGTGCCTCCACCATCTACATCCCACGCCATCACTTGACACCATCACTTAAAAGCATGAGTGTCCCTTCGTCAATTCCACGCATTCTTGACAGGTAAATTTACTATGGAATAGTCAGATAGATAGAGAAAAGAAAATGCTACAATGTCGTGGTGTTTTGACATTGTAATAGTGTCTATGGATGATGTTCTAGTGAGAAAAAGGTGGAAGATCTCATTTTGTGTCATGTTTTTTTCTCTTTTGTTTTTTTATAGCGATAGTGACAGTGAGGATGATGTTCCATTGTCCTCCTTACGTAGTGCGAAAGCTCCAGTACTAAAAGAAGAAATAAAGACGGAAATGTCGAGCCACAATGTGAAAAAGAACAAACGAGAGACGAGAAGTGAGAGCGAAAGTGACGATGAGATTCCTATCAGTGGCCTGGCGAACCGGAATAAAAAGTTGAAGATTGAGACAAATGTCAAGAGGGAAGAGGTGACGATGAATAACCCTCGGTCGACATTAAAGAGCACACCACGTAAGGTGAAGAAGAGAATAATAAAGGTGAGATAAGGAGAGACATAGTGAGGGAGGGGGTATCGGGAGTGACTGGATGGTAATAATTGTTGCATTAATGGGAGTTGTACAGATAAAGATTCGACAACAAGAGTGTACGGAACAATTGTATCAAACACTCAAGGGTCAATTGGCTCAGGAATTGCTAATTGCTGTGTCGATGGTGGTATGCGATGGAATGGCCACCCACGAAGACATTAACGTCAGTAGGTGACACACAAACACTATGAAGGGTGTTGTTAAGGTGGATTTATTTATCTTTAGTGATGTTGTTTGGAATGAATGTAGAAAGTGCATGGCGTTCAGGAACTTGATGGGTTTCCTGGTGCCTATATTCGCGTTAAGGTAAGAGTCTGTGGTAGAAAGGAGGGAGTGGACTTTAAAAGGCGTCAAGTTTTTACTGTTTTCATTTTTATATTTTGTTGTGTAGGGTGACGACTTGGGTTCGATTATAGATACGCGGCTATCAGCGGGAAAGCCGTCGTTCTTGCACTTCTTTGCTATGTCTTCTGAAGACCTGCAAAAGCTGCTTCTTCTGGCGTATGATAAACAAATGGAAGTGTTGATCGAGCATGAGGTTCGTATGGAAAGTGGGCATCGCTGGCGTTGGTAAAAAACCATACTGACCGCTGTGTAAATTGCCATTTGTACGGATCAGGGCTCGGACACTCCTCTTCTGAAGGAGCTGCAGAAGGCACGCGCATCAGCAGCTCGAATCAACACAGAGAAGGCAGACCGAAGCATACAAAAGGTGCTGAAGAGTTTTGCTGAGCTGGAGCGAGAAATTAAAGCGGTAAAAGCTCTTGCGCTCAAAGAGGAGAATACTTCGGATGAAGGTGAAGAAGACGACAATGATGATGACGACGCAGCGAACGACTAAAAAGAATTGCTGAATAAGCGAGGTTCAACCGACACGAGCAAGGACGGACTTGACGTATTCACGTCGAATTAAGCTCGCGTGCTGGGTCATGGTGTGGCCCTTGTTGTTGTACAGGTCAAGTCCCAGCAAATGCAATGGCGTGGAAATGAGCTGCACGGCTGCAGGGCAGATGAGCTGTGCAAAAGTTCCGGCATTGGACTTGTCCATAAGCTTGTTGTCCTCAATTTTCTTGGCCAGCACTTTAGGTGCATTGAATGACGCTGCACAAGTCATTGAGTCACGTACAGCAAAGAGACCAATGGACGCCAGTGGAAAAGCCGCAGGTGCAATAACACCGAACATGCGTGCAAAGGCACGATCTTTGGCAATGCAGAGCGACATGTTGACGGCCGTCGTGCCAATAAACTTGGGCATTTGATTGTCCGTTTCAATGTACTCGCAGACAGAGTCGACCGCATTTGCAGCCATGTACGTGGCTGTATAGAGACCAAAGACAATGTGAAACTCACGTTTGCCTACGAAGCGTAATGGGTTTTTGAGGAAGCTGATGGAGAGCTCCTTAATGCCACGACCAAGCGGGCGAGCGCCACTGGCGTTCTCGATAATAGCGCGATCCACGATGGTGATGAAGGGCGCAACACCGAGTGACGCAGCCATGGCAGCAGCAGTGTCCACCATGAGCTGTTTGACCAGCTTTGCAGGGCCTGGGGATTGATTCTTGTCACTTGAGATGTCTGCCATTAGAATTTTCTAAGCAGGAAAATGAGCAACTGATCCTCAAAGCGCTAAAACTTCAGAGTTTGAGCCTATCCACCAAGCGATCAAATGTCAAACGTAGCTGCTTGTGACGTGGTGGGAGGATAGGCAACATATACAAAAATCAAGATGAAATGGGGTGCATTTCGTAATGGCCGATGTTATACGTAAGCATAAATATTAGGCTTCGACTTAAACTTTGCGCTCAAACGTGCACCTTCGTTACCGTATTACTCTTCTTTTGGCGGCTATAACGTCTACTATTGTCATGCAAGAGATCATATCTAGCAATCATGTGATCAGGAGATAGAAAAGCGCTATCAAAAGTCCTGCTCGCGAGCTTCACTGGCGAATGGCTCCATTTTTATGTCATGTTGGACATTTAGGAAGTAAAAGAATTGCTCCGATGTGCGGGATGCTTGTCCAGCATCACATCGGAGTAATTCTCTTTCAGCTTCACCATGTTATGACGTCCAAGGTGCTTTCAATCTCAATGTAGTAAATCTTAGCATACAACATATCATCATGAAGTCCAATATATATACAAGAGATTGTCTGCACTTTATCGAGATAATAAAATGCTTATGCTTACCGATTACGGCTATGACTCGATGCGTATGGTGGGAGCATATGACTGACCGACCAAGCAACAAATGAAATGATGAGACACCAGAAGCAATGTTAGCTCGAGTATGAAGAATTTGTGGCTCCGTCCCGACCTGACATCAAAGAACAACTTTGCCGAGAATATTGCGTTTTTGAAAAGGACATTGCGCGCTTGACAGCTACTTTCGAGGAAGGTTAGCAATTTGAAGAGGAGCAAACGTGGAAGAAACGCGCATGAAAAAAGAGCTTGGGAAATCAGCAAACTTTTGAGGACGTCCGCAAGCAGACCTTGCAAAACGGAGAGTGTGAGCTGCTGCAGCTACTAAGAAACCCCAGAAACCCCAAACATGTGCCGAGATACGAATGACATCTCTGCTACAATTGAATCTGTGGAGCTAGACGGTCACGGAACGTCGTGTACTATTTGCACGTGCGCAAGACAGGGGTGGGGGGGGGTCGCTGCTAGGCCTAGGGACGGCACGATCACCCAGCGCTAGGTCGTGTGATATGAAGTGATAAAGAGAGCCATCGACAGAAGCACCGTTCTTTGACAACAACGGCACACATATACAAGGTATACAACATCTTCATCTCCAAGAAGCGTTTATATCTATAGGATTCAATATGTATTGACTCCTTGGCTCAAACTGTTCGAAAAATTCGCTTCATATGATAAATACTCTACCCAAATTCTATATGAATGTACCAGGGCTTCCTTTCGTCAATACTTGCACGATCTGAACACGACATTGCGTTCGCCAAGTAAGCAATTAGTATTCTATCGGGTCAAGGATAGACATGAGAAGCTGGAGATAAGTTGATCTTGGCCGGAGTCACACCGAAGCAGTTAGGGCGGGCACTTGAGATAATGGTCGCAGGAAACAAAGTATTGTCGAAGAGCAATTGGGTTATGTCGAAGAGCAATTATCATCCACGTCACCGAACGTGGAGCCTAGTAGTTGAACGGAAGAACATCTTATCTGTTCAACAACGGGTGACAAAACCGACACGAGCTGGTCATTGAATCGATCCACTCACCACCTTGAATGCTATGGCGGATGTCGTCTACCTGAGCTCGTCGACCAAGTCCAGCGCAGCGTGCAGCACGAACTCGTCCACGTGGGTGCTTTCGTCACGCAGGGCGCGCGTCTCCGTCGTGTACAGGGGATCTTTGAAACCTACAGCCACAAACATTGACATGGCTCTTACCTTTTGCTTGGCATTCTTTCCATTTAAACGCTTCCTAATTAATTGAATATCAGACTTTTCTGTGATCCTGTTACGTGTAACGCCTGTCAAGATGATGCGTTTCTTCTCGTCTCTTTTGACTGTAAATTCTTGCAAAACAACTGCTGTTGACGTCTGCCTGCAGATGACGCAAGGTGCCCTAGCATGCTAAAACGTCGCTTGATCCGCAAAAGACGCCAGTGTCCAATAAAAGACACAAGAGTAAGACAACGAGAGGGGAATCGATACGTTCATATATTCCTCAGTTCGTAATTGTCTTTCAAGTCCTCAGGTGTCCAGTGAGTGGCCACGTCGTAAGAAGGAAATGTTGAAAAAGTCGGCTTTCCCGCTCGTAGTGCTAGGACTCGCTAGCACACACGAAGTAACCGCTGGGCCCCTCGCCTACGGTATTTGCCAGACGGGATGCAACGCCATCGTAGTCGCGTGCTACGCTGCTGCCGGTGCGGTGTTTGGTACCGTAACCGCCGGTATTGGTACTATGCCTGCTATCCTTGCATGCAATGTTGCGTTGGGGACATGCATGGCTAGCTGTGTCGCAGCTGGCTGCGCACCGACGCCGTAGTCGTGAGTACCCCGTTGTTCGGACGAGTAAGATTTGTCTTTCAAACCTGATGTTGCGGCCCATTATTTGAATGACCGACGTTTCTTGTTAGGATCCTCCAAGGAATGAGCTTGTACTGCCACGAAGAACGATAGGTTTATCTTTCTCCAATGCCTGGCGTAGTCTGTTGTTCAGCCCGTAAGAGATTCGTAGAACGTAGACGTTATACTAAACCAAGCGTTTAATACTTACTTTTATTTTACCGACCCGGCCGGCCAGCTTCGAACTTCTTTCCATCTTTCGCCAACACGACATACAATTCGTCTTGAACTCAAGTTGCTTAACATCTAGACGGATCACGGTATCTAGCCATCGATCGCAATCCTTCAACAATGGCTGGCTTCAAAGATTTTATACAGAGCCGAAGGGTATGATGTTACGGGTAATAGACCCCTCTCACGCTTTGTGTTCTATAGGCACGACTTTCGTTTTCCTTTTTGGAGCCCGGATTGGGCCTCTCGCTTGAAATTTGTAGCGGAGCTGCACAGCTCTTTAGTCAAAGGAAGACTTTAGGCTGAAAACCCTTTTAGTTTTATGGAATTAATTAAAGAGGACGGCTTAAAGCCACTTAGTTTTTAGGAACTAAATAGACGACTAAGAAGTCACCCTGTTCTAAGAACGAGGAAAAAGACTAAGTCGGCAAGCAATAAGCTGAGGTTCAGAGAACCAACGCACAGAGTGCAAGAACAAGCTAGAAGCTTAAAGTCATAGAGAACCAACGCACATAGTGCACAAGAGAACAAGTAATCTCGAGACTTGCGATCTTTAACTTAAAATGAGAGCTGATTTTATTTTATGCTTTGAGATTTAATGAATAATCCTACTCTAAGTTATCTACACTAGATTAATTACTATTATAGTAATTATTATATCCAGGCTTTGCTATTGGACGACGTATCGTCTAAACATCTGTGTATAATATATTTAGTACAGCGTTATTGATTATCGAATTCTAATTGATAAGATACGGTATTACCAAATACCATATCTTTAACGCACCGACCCCGCGGTGTACTGGTTTACCACTCACTTCGGGACCGGGAGGTCACGGGTTCGATACCCACGGCCGACAAATCCTCAAGTATAATGGAGGTGGGCTTGAACTGTGCATCCGTGTACTAGGTGCGTCGCCGTTAAAATACGTACCAATCCAATTGGAAGGGCAAGCCTGGTGAAATATCACCATATCTTTAACGCTCATACTTATTACTCCTCTAAAGAGAAGCATCAAAATGAATTATATGCAGTAAAAGGAAACTTCAACCGTAAATTTCGGAATGATGTTACAACCATCGTGTAACCCCGTTACACTATCCCCCACCAGACTGACGTTTCCATAGAATGTCATTCGACATCTTTTTCTTTTTGAGGTATTGCTTTAGCGAACGTTTAAGCCTTACGGTTTGCTCACGGCACATACCATGACGCCTCCTGGCAATGACTCACAGACTCTATGGGACCTTATCGAAGGCGACCTTGATGAAGCGGTTGATAACGAAAGTGACACCGTCTATGTGGGACCCGATGGGTCCTCTTTAACCACACTTACGGGTGAAGATAACACTACTCATGCCCCGAATCCGTTCCCTGAACGTGGTGCTGCAGATGCGCTAAAAGCGTTACGTGACCCACCTGACGTATCGTCAACAGCAACGGTTACTAATCCACTCGAGGGAGCAGCAGCAGACCATCGATCAAGAGGAAGGCGCCAAGCGCCGGACAAAGAATATGGCGAGGCTTCAGGACCACCGACAGTACAGGTTTAAACCACCTACGGTGGAAGAAAGCC